TCCCCGGCACAGCATATCTTGCTGAATTTCTATAGTTTCGGCCGCCGCCATCACCATCCCAATCCTTCGCTTCGTTGTCACTGCTGTTCAAGACCTTTGACTTTGCTTTCACTGTTGTTACAGGCCTTCTGCTCCTCTGCCATCACTGTTCCAGCTCCTGCCTTGCTTCTTTCTGCAGCCATCAACTATCCCAGCCACTTCCCTTCGCTGCCCAGCCCCCTTGTCTAGCTCCCCCTCCCAAGATTGCAACCACACGTATCATTCCTGCAGCTTGGCACCTCCCGTTCGCGGCTACTCACATTCCTTTGTTGTCGTCACACCTTCCACCCCTTTTCCCACCTTTGTTACCTCTCCAGATGACCAAACCCTCGTTGATCACCACCTCGAGATACACCTTTGTTTGAGTGGTTTTGTAATTTGTCCCAATTTCAAATTTCGTATGTCGTATCTATTGTTATTTCTATTTTAGTGTGTTGGTTGTAACTGCCTTACAATTTTCAGTAATAATATTTGATTGCTTATTATTACTTGGGTTAACTTAGGTATCATAGCCTTGATCGAAAGTGCTCTCTGATTATCGACATGGGTAATTAATGGCAAAAGCTTATGCCTATGGGAAAGCTCAAACCTCTTATCTTAAGGTCCTTAATTGAGGTCTCTAGTTAGTGCCTTTTCTATTGTCTCACCTGCCTTCTGAAAATTTGACCTGAAACCTCATGGTAAACTCGCTCATTTTCTTTCTTCTCAAGGGAGGCCGAGGAATCAAATTTTTGGAGCCCTCAATGCAAAAGACTACTTATGGCATAAAAAAAAAGCATACAGATTTAAGAAAATAAGTGCATTTTAAAGCAACGGCATTTGCCATCAAAATTAAAGCATGCTCTACCGCTGCTTTACAGTTACGTAATGGATACAGGAAAGAAAAACTAGCAAACAACAACAAATATGTAAATAACATGTCCAGCAGAAGTGTAAACATAAAAACAAAAACAGTTCGCAGAAAATTTTGAATTTTACATTCCTGAGACCAAAGACTGTTTTTTTCACCATGAAATTATATTCATCCAACACGTCAAGATGCTATAAGAAGATTCATAAATAGTTGTCATAAGCTTCAATGTTCACTAGAATTCCACAATAATGCAATGGAATGGAGTATGAAGGAGATGAGAAATACCTTAGAAAAGCAATATTAATACACATTACACCAGTCATAAGTTTGTCAACAAGAAACAAGAACCATTAAAACATAGACGTAAGGCAAGTATAATTTTCGAATGCAATGCTCACCTGGATGGCAAAGAAGCATCAAATTTACCCCACCTAATGCTCGAAGCCTCTTTTCTACGTCCACAGCATGTTCAAGACAGAAGACATGCATTCTGTAAGAGTCTTTGTCTGATGGCTGCACGACAGTCATTTTTGAGTTGTTTATGGAGTCATCCAGATGACCAAAAGTTGTAAATGTATTTCCAGTTGCCATTTTAGAACCATAAGAAGAACCAGGTTGATCAAATACACTCGAATCAGACTTGATATTTTTTGTCATCATATCATTTAAATTTACTTTTGTTGGAACAGTTTGATGAAAGCTATTTATCGAAGCATCTGGGGACTGTTGATCACATAAAGTTTCACTGAATGAATGTGTTGTCATCTTGGTATGATCCACTAATCTAGTTGGTTTTCCTATAGTGTCTTGCTGATTCCCAGAGAGTTGTGTCATTTTATCTTCACATGAACACTCATAACCGTCATTTCCATGTAACTGACAAAGCTTGCTAACAAGAGAGCTATTAGCAACCTTTTTACTACAATGAATAAATTTATAAAGGGTGCTACATATCCCAGGGGTTCTATCCTGGTAGTTTGCATTAGAAAACGCTTCACCTTCATTTGATGGAAACCCTTCATGAGAAAGAGTTTCAGAAATATTCGGGCTCACTGACTGCTGGTCCAAGATACACCTTAGAGATGAATGAGTCAAGTTGTTACCATCAGCACAAAAAGAAACATCATGAAATGCGTACTCTTCAGAATCTGACAAGTCACCATATGCAGACGCCAAAAGGTCAAGAGCTGAAGTTTCTCTCTCAACCTTGGCATTAGAAAGTAAACCATCATTACTGAAAGGAACTTGGACTGAAGAATTAATCTTCTCTATTTGTCCTGAGCAGGAAGAAGTATATTGAAAGAAGACATTAAAGAAAATTTTCTCTAGAAAAAAATAAAAAAAGAAGATAATGCATTCCAGCAAGCATGCATGCGTATATGTTGGGAAAGCTTATGCATTCCCATTATTTTTTCATAACAAATGTGGTGGGTGCATATAGTTTTCTCCTATTCATGCACGAAGATGTGTATATGCACAATCAAGTGTGATGGTGTTCACTTACCAGGATTAATGTCAACATCAGAATTGTGTATATTCATAGCAGCTTCATCATTCAAGCCACAGTTTTCTTCGAAGCCAGTAATATGATCAGCATAAGAGTTGTAGTCACAAGAAATAAGGCATTCAGCCGCTGCTTCACTTGGTTGTATAACGGCCACACAAGAATAGCTTAATATCCCACAAGTGACACACGATAATAGTCCCTGATCTAAAACTCCATCAGTTCGATGTTCATTATTTTGACCCTCCATATTCTGCGTCTCTGAATACAAATTGTGAGAACCAGAAGATCCTAAGCAACTAATTTTATTTGTTGAAAGATTTTTTCTATGGTATACATATTCTGAATTTTCTTCAGCTTGACAAAAGCCCTTGGAACAACTATCCCAGGTTCTCCTGCTTCCAATAGAAAAATCGGAAATAGAAATTTCTTCCATTTTATCTTCACCATGGCATAAATCAAGTGCTTTTCTTGGTTTTACCTTCATTTGTAATTTACGATGTAAACCAGAGCATAATGGTTTATCAAATGTTCTTCGAGGAAGAATCAAACACGAAGATCCATCATCAAGTAGAATATTCAGTAGACTATTGTTCCGTATTACATTTTGAACAAATGTTTTTTTTATCATTGTTTCTCCTACACATCTCAGTTTATTCTTTAACCTCGAGCTCTTTGGCATGGAAAGAATTCTAGAAGGGTTCCTATTCAAGAAACAAACACATAACTGTATAAACAATAAAAACAATGAATCACATATTTTTGAAATGTTATAAAATGGAACTTTCTTTATATCGAAATAGTAGGGAAAAAATATTTCACATGCATGACCTGCATACATAAAATCATATCTGTACTAAATCCAGTGACGCATACAATTCTTCAAGGAAAAAAATTAAACATTGTACTGACGCGGAATGAAAATATAAGTCAATCAATAGGCAATATCTTTCAGTTATATACGTTAAAACAACAGCAACACATGTCAAGCATATGGCTGAGATACAGCCAAATAGAAGAATTTGAAAAAAAAACTTTTGAATAAATAAAACAACTTCTCAGGGTATAACCCCATCTGTATTTTTATTCCACTCGTTCTAACTGGATAAAAGTTCACTAAAAGGTTGTAGCAAGAACGAACACTATCATCAACCATATTTAAACTACGAAAAACTATAAGAATTCTTTCTCAGCAGTCCCATCCCTTCGAAAGATGAATTTGCTGTTAAAACTATTTCTTTCAGTAGCAAATAAACATGAAAAAAGTGTAGGGCTGGGGCTGAATTAATGACCAAAGAACTATGTCAATTTCATCAGATTTCAAGATTCAGTAATAAGACCCAGGGCAAGTTAGCATGCAGATAGATAACTCAACTTAAAAAGAAAAAACCAAAATGAATTTAGAACAATTTACAACACGGTCACCCATATCAAAGATCCACTGTGCTCCAGTTCAAGTCCCACTCACACGATTGGGATGTTTAGTACTCATTCGCTTGAGCACTCATTGTTACACATCACTGGGCCATTTTTCTTGTTAAATGCAGGCTAATCGAGTGTACTATTTGAGGATTTACCTTGCCTAGTGTAACATCTAATTTTAAGAAATCGGATAAAATTTTGACACTCGGAAAACTTACCCCAAATTTCACATCTCTTTGAATTTGAAAGAGTCAATTTTATAATTTTTTTTAAGTTGAATCGATCGAATTGATATATAGCATCACACATAAATTTTATAAGTATGAGATGATATAAAAGTATGAAGTTATATATTTAATTACTCTTAATTAATCTTAATTATTCTCCCTAATCCCACATCATCACTATACCCACCGAACTATTCACGCGACATGCAGCAGTCGGATGGGATGAACGGCTGAGACATAGAGAAATTTAGTTATATGTTGCATCTCCCTTCATTTCTCCCATCTCCCATTTTTTATTTCACTCGTCTGAAGGTTCCTACAACCCGTTTACTATAGCAGACGAGTCGAACGACTGAGCAGGGAGCCAGAACTCGTGGTTTAGGTGTCCATGCAGAAATCAATAAGTAGGAAACCCTCTTTCACAATAATTGAGAAATTTCTTTCCTTACGTTTCTATTTTGACATTTGCCACAAAACGGTGCACCTTTTAATTTCTCGTCAATGTAGGAGGCAAGCTTGTGTTGAAAACTCCAAACTTGCTTTATCGGCTTCCATATGGACAACTAGTAGGAAATCTGCGAAGTAAAGGGAATGATGGAAGGTTAGGGGAGAGGAAGAGAGGATTTGAAGAAATTTGTTGGGAAAATTCATGCAAAGCAACCCATTCAAGGTAAATTTGACACGTATCTTTGCGTGGGAGTTAAATTAAGACATGAGATAAGAATTTATGAATATCCTAAGCGGTTTATGAATTCAAAGTTGTTTACACTAGACAACGAACTCGAGTAAACACTTCGTAGGGTTACTTGTCGATTTAAATGAAAAATCTTGTCCTATTTAAGAAAAATAGCGCCCCGTAGGTTTCCATGTGATTATGTGCTTGACACTACTGCATCTAGAATTTTTTGCATATTATGAATGAATTCAACAACAAAACCTTTATCCACTAAGTGGGATCGGCAACATGAATCCTTTTTCTCCATTGCGTCCTATTTATTGACATTTTCATTTAATTTTAATCAATTAAGATCATTTTTTATATAATATGCTCAAGTCATCCTAGGTCTAGCTCTACCTTTCTTAACAAAAGTCGAATCTAAGACATCTACTCTTCTAATCAGATCATCAGATAGTCGATAATCAGATCATCAGATAAGATAGTCGACGTTTAATGTGAACAAACCATCTAAGACGTCTCTTTTTAATTTTGTCTGTCACTGGAGCTACATCAACTCTATCACGGATATTCATATAGCATTTTGTCTCTAAGTGTAAAGCCACTCATCCACCTGGTCATTCTCATCTCGGCAACACTTAACTTAGCTTTATGCTTCTCTTTTAAAGGCCAACATTCAGTGCCATAGAGCATTGCAATTCTCATCACCATCTTATAAAATTTTCCTTTCAGTCTAAGTGGTACTTTTCTATCACACAATGGACCTGAAGCATTCCTCCATTTCAACCAACCAACTGAAATTCTACTAATAACATCCCATCAATATCACCATCACTTTGAACAATAGAGATATCAAAAGCATTCACACCTTTTAATAAGTTGATCGCCCATAGTAACATTTTTGTCACTAAAGCTACAACTACTAAAATTACATTCCATGTATTCAGTTTTAGTTCTATTCAAACAAAGATCTTTAGACTCCATGGTAGACCTCCATAATTCAAGTTATGCATCTTGTGAATGAATACATAAACTAAATGAATAAAAACTTAATTTGTTCTTTACAATACATATGAATTTACTATGTTATAAATCAAATGAATATGTTTATGAAATTATTGTTTATAAGTATTTGTTTACTATGATTTATACATATGATATATAAAATGCTTATGAAGAATATTTGTTACAGGAATTATGATTTAAGAAATGTCACAAGTGATATTCTAGGTAGACTATTATTTGAATACTTGCAAGTGCAGATGATAGGGAGCGATGAGACTCCCGACTCCTAGTGTTCAGACTGAGAAGAAACTCCATAAACAATTGGGATCAGACGGGGGATGAAACATAAGAAACCGTTACTACAAAGAGCTATTTAATAACGGTTATATTGGGAGGAGCCCAACGTTTATCAATACTTAATATAGCATTTAGGATGCATGACAACCCATGACATGATATGAAATGAGAATAGTTATGAACTATGCAATTATAAGTGCTATTCATGTGATTAGATAAATGTCTCATTTGAATATGTTTATGATTACACATGAATAAATAAAACACATGTTTTATGTAGTTGTCATTATTTTCTACAATCTTTTCTTTTACATATTTTATATAGTTAAAACATATTATGACATGTGTTGTGGATATGTACATGAGTTACATATGAGCATGTACATTATTTTTTTGTCAATATAATTTTATTTTAGTCTTGATTATTTCAATGAGATTGTTATATCTCATTCTATGTTGTTGACTTTCAGGAAGAGGTAAGGAGCATTAAGGCGAGTAGTCAAGTGTGACGCGTGCAGCTTTAGTATTTTATAATTTTGGGAGTTTGTACAGACTTTTAGGTGTATAGTTTTATTATTTTGAATTAAGTTGTTTTGTATACATATTTTGATGATATGATTTTCATACTTCTAAGTATATATAAATGTGAATGACTTATGAAATACAATATATCAAATATGTTTACGTCGATTAGTTAGAATACTTCATCACATGCTAATCCTGAATTTGCAAGTTAACCTCAATCGCATTGTAGTTGATATGACACCAAACGCCTCTGAAAGAATTCTGAAGTCCTCCTCAGCCTTTACTTGTCCGCTGGTGTTTGCCAAAAATTCTAGGGTTGCAACCAAACTCATTTTTTTCCTACTCACCCACCATTGCTCGATATCCCCTCAAATCATTGTGGAATTTTCCTTATTCAAGGTTTGCTCCACTAATGTCCTTAAATATGTTGTGATGCTCAGCTCCCTGGCCCCTCCCCTTCGCTCCCATCTCCTACTCATTTGTCTAACTCCTTGGGAAGGCATAGCATTTTGCTCCACTTTTACCACAGTCATCGCTTCTCTGATCATCTTAGATTCTCCACATATTGCTCACACTACTTGTTCCATTACAAATGTGATAGGTGCTTGCTGCGTTCAAAGTCACATACATCCTACTTCTTTCAATTCTCATTATTTTTTCCACGCCTTAGATGCATCTTAAAATTAACTAGATTTTACTAGCCCAAAATATATGTGCACATTTTTACTGATGTTGAGATATTTGAACTTTCCTGCACATTTTCTTCCCTATTAGTGGCAAATTTTCAATAGGCCATCCTAACCTAAATGTCATTTGCGATGTTGCCATTTTTACAAGTTGTCGGTGATTTTTTAGGTGGTTTTATGGATTGCTACGCAACATTATAAAACTTTTTTCAAAATCTGATGACACAAGACACTTCTCTCATCGAACCATTATGTCAATAGCTTCTTATGTGAATGTTTACATAGTTTACACATTTTGAAGCTACTGCAAAACCACCTATCACCCATATTTGAGTAGCTTGCATGTTGCTACCATGTCAAGTTTTTTAGTCACTTTTGGAGGATCCCGTGGAGGAAGTTAGGCACAAAGTTTCAATTCAATTCAACAGCTCACCCAAACGGACAGTCAAACGAAAGTAGAAAACAGGAGCCTGGGGAACCTTCTGAGATGCTTTATCTAAAAAAATACTAAGTAGTGGAATTTGATTATAGACCAACCAGATTTTGATTACAACAGATGCTTAAGTTAACCTATGGGGACACATCCTACTTGAGATTGTGTACAGGCGCAACGCGCTCACTTCCATGAAAAGGTACATTTGCATTACTAGATAAAAAATTAGAAAAAATATGCATGTATGCATCTATGATGTACTGAAATAAAACCAGTCATCTACAAGTATATAGAAAGTTCCTTAACCTCCTCTACATTCGTTAAAACAAACGACCCATCAAAGGCACAATTTGCACAAAAATGGGTAGCCCTATTACATTTCTATGATATAAAAGAACAAAGCTTGTCTAAAGTTTAACAAAAAAGCAAAATC